TGAAATTGCCCGCGCCATGACCTCCCTCGGAGTGGATGATGTGTGTTGCTTGTGATATTACTAAATAGCCACGTATTATAGCTTAAGCTGTGAGGGCGGCGCCGGCACCAGGAGGCGAAATGCTCTCACGCCTTGCGCGGCGACGTCACCGCTGCGACAAGCACGGCGGCCGACCACTGCGGCGCCGTACAAGAGAGCTAATCTGGCGCCTTCTACAGCAGCATGGTCTCGGTGATGCCATGCTCAGCAAAATGATATGAAAGTGCGTTAAGCTGTCAAACGGCAATGACAATATTTGTACCAGATAACTTCGACGATGCACATTATTGCGCTGTAAGCAGTGCTGTATCCGTTACTGAGACAAGTGCACTAAAGGAAATAAATGCCAAAGACGAGAAACTAAACATTCCAAACACTTGAACACTGAAGGGAAGCTAACATGACTCCCTGTTTATATGTGAATCCTCTGTGCTGCCGTGAAGACACAAACGCTAATATTTGAAATCCAAGTGTTTGTCACTAATTGCGGTTCTAGTATAGCGTCTCTCCAGGAATACTTTACTCTTTGCCAGTCATCTGATAAAAAGATGTTGTCATCTGCCTTGAGCACAATCGGAGAGTAAGAACAAAAAGTTTAGAATTAAATGAAGAAAAACATAGTGTGCTGTCTAGAGCATTGTTAAGCAATCATCATTTTTTCAATATATATTTTTTGATGTGTGCACTATTAGCCACATGTCTTGATGTGGTAATTTGTCAAAAAAAAGGAAAAAAAAGAAAAAAAAAATACAAGGCAGAAAATTTGGAACACTGTAAATTAGGTAGCTGTTTAGTAGCATTTTCAAAGCAACAGTGACTAATCCATCTTGCAGACAGCCAGCTGTTTCGAAACAGAACTATCAGATACAGTAAAATGGTGGAAACACTCACTGGGAGATGAAAAAACACACACAAACAAATATACTTTTACTTAAAGTTGTATCATTACATAAGCACAACATCTTTGTTTGTAAGGAAGTGAAGAGATGAATAAAGTAACTCAAATGTGCAGTCCGTAGAAGCATAAGCTCGTTACCACAGGATCAAAACCATTGCGATCAACATCAGTGTAATACAAACACTAGACCCCAAGAACTCTCTTGTGCCTAGAATATATTACATTATAAACAAAAAAAATAAGAAAAACATACTGCAACACACAGACAATCAGAAGTCAGGATAATGAACGAGTAGCCAGGAATAGAGTGAGAGTTCTACAGGAGCCAGCTGTCTGGATGATGAAACTATATAGTCTACCACTGTCCTTTGTTCTTGTCACTGATACCTGTCAGGTTGCAGCCATGGAGGGCAGAGTTGCTTGCACAGGATCACCCGTCTTATGTGTCTGTGTGTAATATATATTTTTGAATGTCAGGAAGAACCAAGAAAATAAAGGAAGAAAAAATGAATAAAAAAAAAAACACGGATACAATTTTGCTATTGTGTGAAAAGGTTATTGTAATATATTAATAAAACTACACTTTCTAAAATGAGAACGTTTTCTTAAGCCAAATGTACCATCCGGGTAAGAGTTATTTCTAACTGCCATTTACTGTCAGGAAATACACAGTAGATGGATGGATTAGGAAGTCGCATGGTATTACCCACACGCTATCTATACATTCTGTCTCCCAAGAAGTAAAAATGAAGAAACGGACAAAAGGACACTTCTTTTTTCCAGTAATTTCTGTTATTGAATAATATATAAAGACGATAATGATAATAAGGATAATGGAAGCAATAGTAGTAATAATAGGTGTAATTTAAATGCTAAAAAATATATGGAGAACATAATGACCCTAAAATTAAAATAACATATTCGTATTATTGATTACAGCGTATTATTGATAATGATATAGTAAACACAACTTATAATGAGGATTTTGTTCACACTAATAATAATAATAGTGGAAATGATGTCCATGTCCAAATTAAGAGAAGTTGAAAAAGAACTGTTCATATAGTTAGGTTGTAATGAGTTACAGCTTAATAAAACCAGTGAGTTACACAGTAAGCAGTAATTTAAAAGATACAGTAATAGTAATGATGAAGATAATGATAAAATATCAGCAGATAAAATAATCGTCATAACCATCACCATCATAGAATTATAGTAGCGTTGATAAAGAAGATAACTCCAGTATTGCCAGTAATTAAGGTAATTATAATAGTAATACAGAAATAACAACAACACTAATAATAATGATAACAACAACAACGGCAACAACAACAACAAGGATAATACCAATATTAATACCAATAATAGCAATTATTATTATTATTTCTATTATTGTCATTATCATTATTAATACTAATAATGATATGAATAATAACAACAATAATGATAACAATAGTTGCAATTATCAAGATGTTAATAATAAATCAACATCTTGATAATAATAATAATAAATGTTTTCATTATTGCAACTATTGTTATCATTATTGTTGTTATTATGATATT